CAGACCTAAACCCTTGGCTCTTAAGAACAATGAAAAAGCAATCAGGTTCTTAAAAGAAGAATTTTAATTGAAGAAAAGTAAAAGAATCACCTCTGCAAAATCAGGATGGTAAATGCCTTACAGGGTAATCAGATTCAAAACATAGAGAATCCCTCTAGGCAAAACCTTAAGTTACAAAAGGACACAAAAACAGGAATATACATTCCATTCAGCACAGCTTATTTTATCAGCCATTTAAACAAAACAGAATCTAACGCATATCTAGCTAGATTACTTACTAAGTTCTAAGACTCCATTCTTTTTCTGTTCCAGGCAAAAGCATCACCCAGACAGAGAAAGCCTTTGTTTCTCCCCCGTCCAGCTTTAAAAGTATCTTGTCTCCTCATTGGTCATTTTGGTCAGGTGCCAGCGAGGTTATCCTAGCTTCTTAACCCTTTACAGGTGAAAGGGTTTTTCCTCTGGCCAGGAGGGATTTTAAAGGTGTTTACCCTTCCCTGTATATTTATGACAGGGGGTGACCTAGAGGACTGGCCAAGCAACCCCCAGAACACCCTGGTCATGACCCATAGCCAGAGCCGGCAAGGGACACTATGCCCTGACATCGGGGAGGGTATCTCACCAGAGGCGCAGGACCCTACCCTGGTGGGGAGGGAGAGCCCAGGGGCAAAGCTCAGAGTGGATGCAGCATCAGACCCAGCCTGCGAGAGGAAGCAGGTCCCTGTCCCTTCCCCAGCTGCTGAGTTCCAGGCTGAGTTGCAGAAAGATCCCTCCTTGCAGAAGCTAAGGATCCCTGGCTGGCTTCAGCGTGGCACAGACCATGGGGAGAGGTTGCCAAGAGAGGTTCCTGTGGGAGAAAGGATTCCTGTACTGAGAATGGGCTCCCTCAGGGGAAGTGGAGTCATGGGGGATCCGGAGGCAGCTGGTGGTCCCCCAGAAGTATCGACACAAACTCCTGTACCTGGCCCATGACATCCCTCTCTCAGGGCACCAGGGAATCTGGCGTACCCGGCAGAGGCTGCTACAGAACTTTTACTGGCCTGGAGTCTTTACTACTGTCCAACAGTATTGCCGATCCTGTGACCCCGCCAGAGGGTGGGGAAGGCCCAGGACAAGGGGAAAGCAGCTTTGAGACCTTTGCCCATTATAGAGGAGCCTTTCCAGAAGGTGGCTGTGGACATAGTGGGGCCTCTTTGCAAGACAACCCAATCAGGGAAGAAATATATTCTCGTGGTGATAGATTTCGCTACCCGCTACCCCAAGGCAGTGGCCTTGTCTTCCATTGAAGCAGACACCATGGCAGATGCGCTGCTGACCATTTTCAGCCAAGTGGGGTTCCCCAAGGAAGTCTTGACAGACCAAGGATCCAACTTCATGTGAGCCCTGCTCCGGTGCTTGTGGGAGAAATGTGGGGTCCAGCACACCTGGGCCTCAGCATATCACCCCCAGTCCAATGGGCTGGTTGAGAGGTTCAATGGAACTCTAAAGATGATGCTGAAAACCTTTATGAACCAGCACCCGCAGGACTGAGATAAGTATTTACCTCACCTGCTGTTTGCATACAGGGAGGTGCCCCAGGAGTCTACCGGGTTTTCGCCTTTTGAACTGTTACATGAAAGAAGGGTAAGAGGGCCCCTGGACCTGATAAGAGTCGAATGGGGAAGGCCACTCCCATTGGAGAATCCGTGGTGGAGTATGTCTTGACCTTCCGAGAGAGACTTGCTGAGCTCATGGGCCTGGCCAAGAAGAATCTGGCCAGAGCCCAGAGGAAACAGAAGGTCTGGTATGACCACACGATGCGGGCCCACACCTATGCCACCGGAGACCAGGTGATGGTTCTTATCCCCGTGAGAAAAAACAAACTGCAGGCCGCCTAGGAAGGCCCCTTCAGGGTTGTCAAGCAGCTAAATGAGGTAAATTATATGGTGGAACTGTCTAACCAGGCACACTGCCACCAGGTGTACTATGTTAATATGATGAAGCCATATTATGATAGGGGGAATGTGGTATTAGCTGTGTGTGGACATTGGGAGGAGCAGGGAGATGACCCTTTAGTAGATCTATTCCCTGAGACAGAAGCTGGCTCCTCCCTAGAAACAATTCCCCCTCTGATAGGTTAACCCCTGCTCAGCAAGCTGAGATCAGAAGGGTGCTGAATCTGTACCGACAGCTGTTTTCCAACCGGCTTGTACTCACTAATCTGACTGTCTACTAATCTACTGCAGATGGGATCACACCTGCCTATAAGATGCTCCCCCGTCCGAGTCACAGGGAAAACTGCTCAAGACCTGGAAAGAGAGGTCAGTGACATGCTGGCTTTGGGCGCGATCCAGCCATCTTCCAGCACTTGGGCCTTGCCTGTGGTGCTGGTCCCCAAAAAGGATGGGTCGATCCAGTTCTGTGTGGACTATCGGAAGCTCAATGCCATCACTGTATCTGATGCCTACCCCATGACCAGGCCTGACGAGCTCCTAGACAAGCTGTGGGGAGCTCGCTACCTTACCATCATGGATCTTACAAAGGGCTACTGGCAAGTGCCACTGGATGCAGATGCCCAGCTGAAATCGGCCTTTACCATTTGGGGCTCTATGAGTTCCTGACCCTGCCTTTTGGCCTCAAGGGGGCGCTGGCCATCTTCCAGCACCTGGTGGATCAGTTACTGAGGGGGATGGAGAGTTTTGCCGTGGCGTACATTGATGAGATCTGTGTCTTTAGCCAGACCGGGGAGGACCATGTGTCCCAGGTTAAACAAGTGCTGGACCCACTCCAGGAGGCTGGGCTGACCATAAAAGCTGAGAAGTACAAAGTGGGGCTGGCTGAAGTATCTTATCTGAGCCACTGGGTGGGGAACGGCTGCCTAAAGCCAGAACTAGCCAAGGGTGAGGCGATCAGAAACTGGCCTGCTCCCCAGACCAAAAAGCAGGTCCAGGCCTTTATTGGGATGGCGGGGTATTATCGAAGATTTGTGCCCCACTTGAGCTCCATAGCCACCCCCATCACTGAGCTGTGCAAGAAGAGGAAGCCAGACAACGTGGTCTGGACCGAGCAGTGCCAGAGGGCTCTCTGTGGGCTGAAGGAAGCTCTCTGGTCAGTGGCCCAGTTCTGGTAAACCCAGACTTTGACAAGCCCTTTATGGTGTTCACTGATGCCTCAGACACAGGGTTAGGTGTGGTGTTAATGCAGGTTGATGAAAAGGGGGAGAGACACCCCTTCATGTACTTGAGCAAGAAGTTCTTACCCCGGGAACAAAACTATGCGGCCATCAAGAAGGAATAGCTGGCTATGGTGTGGGCCCTTAGGAAACTCCAGCCATATCTCTTTGGGCGACACTTCACCGTGTACACCGACCACTCCCCCCTGACCTGGCTACATCAGATGAAAGGAGCCAATGCCAAGCTCCTGAGGTGGAGCCTGCTTCTGCAAGATTATGATATGGACGTGACCCATATGAAGGGGAGTGCCAACATGATAGCTGATGCATTGTCCCGGAGAGGGGGGCCTGAACTTCCCCAGGTCACTGGTTAGAGTGACCCCGCTCGGTTCAGTCTCGAAGGGGGGAGAGATGTGACAGCGTAGGGAGTGAGGAGTATTGACCTGGGGATGTTGCATGGGAGTTTTACTGGTACTGTCTGCATTGGTGATGGGATATCAGGGTGTGACTTCACTTGAGGGATGATACCCTGAGCATGTGACCTGAGCCAGGAGGGGGTTGGGGCCAGGTGACACCTTCTACCTGGGAAACTGGACAAAGGCTGGAGGAGGAGCCAGGGGGTGTAGCTGGAGGAGACTGCAGGAGGGGGTTTCAGTCCAAGCTCCCTGCCCCCCAATATGGACCTTACGGAGGGGGTCCTGTTGTCTGTACCTGCAAGCCCTGTTTTGCTCTGTGTTCCTGTCGCCTAATAAACCTTCTGTTTTACTGGCTGGCTGAGAGTCATGGTGAATCACAGGAAATGGGGGCTGCAGGGCCTTGTCTTCCCCACATTTCTGACAACTCCTGGCTCAGGTATCATCCCTCAAGTGATGTCACACCCTGATATCCCATCACCAATGCAGACAGTACCAGTAAAACTCCCACGCAACATCCCCAGGTCAATACTCCCCACTCCCTACACCGCCACAGTTTTCCCAAGCACCAGTCTTAGGGAGGAAGGATGGTGTTGAGGTAAAGCTCAGGAGATCTATTTGTGACTCTGCCATTGACTCAATGCATGACTGGGAGTAAATCACTTAACCTGTCTCTGAGTCTTAGTCTCTCCCACCCCCTAAAACAAGGATAATACTACCCACCTATCCCACAGGAAGTATGTGGTTCACTCAAGTGTGTAAGCACTCTGAGATCCTTCCTTGGTAGGGGCTATAAAAACCACAGCATATTACTAATCCATCACGAAGCCATCAGCAAAAAGTATCTGTGTTAATGGATGTTGTATGACAACAGGCCACATAAGGTCATGGGTTCTCAAGTTGGGGGGTGAAGGTCACAAACCAGTTTCATGTGTTCCCTTTTTCTCTTTTCAGAGTAGCAGCCGTGTTAGTCTGTATTCCCAAAAAGAAAAGGAGTACTTGTGGCAAGTCCTCCTTTTCTTTTTGTGAATACAGACTAACACGGCTGCTATTCTGAAACCTGTCATTATGCAAGGCACTGAATTTAGCCATATGGAGTGGAAATCTATTTTGCCACAAGTACTCCTTTTTCTCTTGTAACTCTGGGTCAGAGTACAGAAATGGTTGAGAACCACCAGTACAGATTATTTGTTTGGTACCCCCTGCAGAAATATAACATGCTGGGAAAATATTAGGAAAAAAGAGCCAAGCAGCAAAAAAGAAAAAAGACGATAAAGTCAGAATATCACCAAAAAAATTTAAACTTTTGTAATGTATCTTCAGGATAACAGAGCATACAATTTAATAAACATCATATTGAAATGCTCCCATTCCAACTTATTCTGTTTGCTGCTCTTATTATTATCATCATAAAGAGAAACTTTAGCTATTTTCTCAACAGTATCTTTTTTTTTCTGGCTTCTGAAATGTTTAGTAAACAGGCAGCCAGACGAAAGCCCACTTTGGTGGAAGACATTTTCACGCCCTGAAACAGAAACATAAGAAAATATTTTCTTCTCTCATTCTCATGCTTTCACTCTTGCTCATGTTTTCGTTTCTGGTCTTCTTCTTTAACCCATATACTTTAAAAAAAAGACAATTATTTGGTAACTAAGCAACCAATGCTGCATAAATTTTCACCTCAGCATCTTCTTTTCACAAAGAGGAATGAAATCTTGTGGGTTATTTGAGAAGCCATTACATATTTCAGTAGGCATGCACACATCGTCAGTTTAGCAGCAAACTCAGTGCAATCACTCAAGTTATTAAAACCTGGACTATACCATAAAACTGAAATGATTTGCCTTTCAGTGCAGGTGGGAATGAGGAGTGTGCCAGGTTGTCTCAAGGACCGTTTACAAGCTTATTCACACTTCATTGGTATCAGATTTTAAATTTTTATTAAAGCCAATGTTAAAAGAAATTATATAACACAGAGGTTAAGAAATGAGTGTCTGCACATCTGGGTATAGTGTTTAGATTATCCACAAATACAAAGTTTGTTTCTAAACTCATAAGATACATACAGTGCATAATCAGCAATAACCCAAATTTAGGTGAATAAATTGAATTACACACTACTGAAATACTATCCAGGCTAGGTACAAAATGTTGGAGAAGGGACAGTGGGTTAAAGAAGTTACCATCCATGACTTCACCTTGAACCAATACATTTCAAATGTTTCATTACCTACCATAGAAGGATTAGTATTTAAATATCTGTTAGAATGAATAGACGTCTAAAGCTTTTATTCTACTCGGTAGGTGGCCTTCTCTTTTAGTTGTGAAGTACTGTATGTAGTTAGACAGCTGCCACCTTCCATAACACAGGAGGCTGATTTCAGTGTCAGGTGTATTGATTTTATATCTAGATGAATAGATATAGATTTCTCTCTCTCTCCAATCCAAGTTCTGCCCTCAGACGTGGCCAACTTGCAAGCCATACTGTAAATGTTATGGCATGCTTTGAGCCCTTTCAATGGAAGGCTTTACACCTGCACAAGTGTCAGTCATTATTATTGTGTCCTTTCCTAAGCACTCTGGCCAACAGTGTTTGTGTCATGATGGACACACATCCAAAAACAAAATTCGTGTCCCATACTATGGCAATAATACTTTTAGTTAGTATTGGTTACTGTCACTGACAGATTTGTAGTGTTTTGTGAATCCTATTAGAAGTTAATGACTAACCTGGAGAAGCACCAGGTCTGGGCAGGTAAGAATGCAGATTTTCATGTTATAGAAAACAATCAAAAGTTTATTAATCTATACAAATTAAAGCTTTACTCCTGCAAGCTAATCCAATCTGATAGACCCATGCACCTTCATGAATTCAATAGGGTTCCATGCAGGTGCCAGGGTCTGCCCGCATGGATCAGCTTCCAGGATCTGGGCCTGAGCTTTTATATAAATATGAATACTAGCATACTAATAAAGCCCCCTAAACCTTTGTAACTAGGTAAAACAGCCGGCACTACTTTTATAAAGCAGACAACTTCTGCCATTCACTTGTTTTCATTGTGTTTGTATATTGTAAACTGTTTTACCTGGCATTTAGAGCAACCCCTAAGGCAGTGTTTCCCAAACTTGGGATGCTGCTTGTTCAGAGAAAGCCCCTGGCAGGCCAGGCTGGTTTGTTTACCTGCCGCGTCCGCAGGTTTGGCCAATCGCGGCTCCTACTGGCCACGGTTCACTGTGCCCGGCCAATGGGGGCTGCGGGAAGCGGCACAGGCAGAGGGACGTCCCTCGGCCCGCGCCGCTTCCCGCAGCCCCTGTTGGCCGGGCACAGTGAACTGCAATAGGCCGAACCTGTGGATGAGGCAGGTAAACAAACCTGCCAGGCCTGCCAGGGGCTTTCCCTGAACAAGGGCGTCCCAAGTTTGGGAAACGCTGCCCTCAGGGTATGTCTACACTGCAGGTGGAAGCGAGCCTCCCCGTCCAGGTAGGCAGACTAGAGATAGTGGGGCTGGAACAAGAGAGCTAAAAATAGCAGTCTTTACACTGCGGGTGGGGCTGTTCAAGCTCACCCAACCCCCTAGGCCAGAGAGCCAAGTCACAACTCCCATACTGCTATTTTTAACACGCTAGCTGGAGCCCCACTTGCAGGAGTCTGCCTACCTGGGCTGGGAGACTCACTCCCCGCTGCAGCGTAGACATACCCTTTCAGTGCAACATTCAGGGCTTTATTTCTGACCATCCCACCTCTCATTCTAAGTCTGGATTTCCCCTGGACCAGAATTGCTCAAAAAGGTGCTGGGAAAAAAATCTACCTCCACAGCAGGAGCTGAAATAACCAACTGCAACAGAGGAACTAGGAGTATTTTGTTTATGTAGCATGTTCATATTTTTCCCCACTGAAAATAAAACTGAGAGAATCAGTTATAGAACATTTGTTCACATACAAAACATACAATTTACGTACAATAATAATTTTAGGCTTACACAGACTACCAGTTAACAATATTTTGCATATCTATAGTGCCTTTCATCCAAGGATCTCAAAAATTATAAACAGTCTTAAGCATTTCCAGGACCAGAGCCTTAAACCTCACAAAGCCCGGTGAGGCAGGGGAGTATTATTGTCCTTATTTTGCAGATGGGGAACTGAAGCACAGCAGGGTTACGCGATTTTGCCCAACAGCAAGTCAATTACACAGCAGAACATAGATCCAGCTTTGCAGCTGATGTCCATGTTGCCAATTTTTGCTAATTTTATCATGAGTCTTGCAATATGCGGAGTTTTTCTAAAGCCCCAGCTCCTGGAATCAAGTGATTATGTGAGAATCTCTGCCTCCGGTGAAATAATTTCTAGGCTAGCCCTCGTACACAGTTGCAGAGAAAGGCTTGAAAGAAACTGTGAGCTAAGCACATCCTAAAGGCTCAGAAACCAGGTGACAACTAAAAAGAAGTGAGAGAGAGAAAAAAAAAAGTGTGTGTGTGTGATTTTAAGCCAATCTCATAATTTTAGGAGCCTGACATGATTTTTGAGTGCTTGGGGTTAGCAGTATGGTGCATGCCATAAAACTAAAACACAGACGATAAACAGAGAAAGGCTCTGGGCCATGCAGTTCAGATCTAGATCCAAAACCAAGTTGCCCCAAGCCAAGGTGGCATTTTGGAGCCGCCCTCCTCTTACAAAGGACAAGGGCTGCTGCAGCTGACTTTGGAGCCTGGGTTTGGCGGGGCGGAGCCTTGCCGTGGGGGCGTTGTCCAACTTCACAGGCCCAGTTCAGCGCTGCCCCGCGCCAGGGGAGACCCAGCTATCATGTTGGCACTCCCCTTCACATGGGCCACGTCCATATCATAATCCAGTGTTGGAAGTTGGGACGGGGCTGCCGCACTCCCCGCTGCTGCCCAGGGCCATGCAGCCGGCCGCTCCCGGGAAGGCAGGTGCAGCAAGGGGAAGCTGGCCGGGGCCGCTCAGCTGGGCTGTTTTACCGCGGCGCTGCCTCTTCCCGCCCGGGGCTCTGGCTCCCACCTCCAGGGGCAGCCGAGTCCTGCTCCCGATAGACTTCAGCCTGCCAAGGGGGGAGCGGGGGAAAAAAGGTCTGAGCACAATCAGCAGCCTCTTGCCTCCCTCCTCTGGCAGCCTCTGTTTCGTTGAGCTGGCCGGGATCCAGGCAGCACGTGGTTTTCGGGCCTGGCATTTGGAGCTTCACCCCACCTCCAGCACCTCCTTGCTGCATCGGCCAGCTGGGAATTTACTGCTGAGATAGAGACCTAGCGGGAGGACCGCGCAATCAGTCCATATACATGCAGCAAAATAGTTGAGAGCAATATTGACCCACCCTAGGGTGGCTTTTTCCCCAGATCACTCGGGGACTTGCGTGCAAACTGGGTTCCCTTCCAACAAATACTGTGCTGCTCCCATAGCAACATGATGTGCAGCTGGCCCTACTACCCACAACTTACCAAAAATGGAGGGAGAGTAGCTTATGTTTTCTTTCTGCATTTTGCATGACGTACACATATCTGCCAGCCAGAAATAGGAAAATATAGATGGGCTTTTGAACTTAAATAAGGTACACTCAGATAGGAGAGCTTTCTGGCAAGGCAAGAGTGGGAATATGCCAACACCAAGATTCTCAAAACAGGGGCATAAAGCTAGGCTCCTAAACTCATATTTAGGCACCTAAGGCCTCAAACCCAAAACTATATCCATGTAGGCCGCTCTTTACAATGATACAAAACCCCATTTACTTCAGTGGTGGTCCATATGGGTGCAGGAGCGGAGCCCACCTATGCAGGGCTCTTTGCAGGAATAAGGCCCAGATACTGCAAACATGCATAGTACTCACAATAGTAAAGTTAAGCCTGCATGTAAGTGTGTGTTGAATGAGGGCCTACGTGGCCTGATTTCCAGCATAAGTGGCGTGAGCATCCAATAATTCCCACTGAAGTTGTTTTTTAAAATCAGGTCACTTATTTATGTGCCTAAATTTTAGGCACCTGGGTTTTTTTTAAAAAAACTTGACATAAGCATCTTGCTAAAGAGCAGGGGTAGTTGTCATGTATGAGCTATTCTACAGCCTTATCACTACCTGGCTTTTCTAACATAGGGTAGCCAGGAACCTATTACCCTGGTGACTGTGCAGTCAGACTAAATGCTAATGACTAGATGATGCTAGATCAGAGGAAAAGTGTGCCTATGCCAGTTAGAACTGTAAGCTCTTCGGAGCAGGGATTGTCTTTCTGTAATGTGTGTACAGCGCCTAGCACAATGGGCCCTCAGCATGGGATAAGCCTGAAGGGCTTCCAGCTCTACTGCAAAACAAATAATAGTTAATTGCTGTGTCTACACTAAGGCTTTAAAAAAAATTTCCTGCCATTGCTGTAGCTCCAGTGCAAGTCCACCAGCGTTAGCAGCAGCGGGATGGGAGCACTAGTGTAAATCAGCTTGCAAACTTTTTAATCTCTGTATCAAGTTAACATGGTAGTTAAAATACCAAGGGCCTTGTCTACACCTTGTCTACACCA